AAACAGAGAACAAGAGAAAGATACAGAGTTTATTTTAAGGAATTGACTCACAGAATTTTGAGAGTTGGCAAAGCAACTGTGTAGAATACAGCAGCAGGCTGTATATTTAAGGAAGACTTGATAATAGTCTTGAGTGTAAAAATTGCAAAATAGGCTAGTAGGCTGGAAACTCAGCATTTCTATGTTATCATCTTGATGTAGACTTGCGTCTTCTTCAGGTAACTTTTATCTTCGCTGGTAAGGCATTCATCTGATTGGGTAAGGCCCACCACAGTATGGAATCTGCTTTATTTCAAGTCAACCAATTATAAATGTTAATTACATCCACAGAGACCTTCACACAGCATCTCTATTAGTATTATACCAAACAACTGGCCATGATAACTATCCAAAGTGACTCATAAAATTAACTAGCACATCTAGGTTAACTGTTTATTGCCCAAATTGATATTCTTTCTGAAAAACAATAAAATTATTTAATTTTATTACTTGACTGACAAATTGGTTTCATCATATTGGCGGACCTATAAAATAGTCCTATTAAGGAATTATTTTAAAAATAAAGTTATTTCTAAGACATATTAAGATATAGCTATATTCATTAAAGCAAAACAACTGTTTTAACATTAAAAATAACATAAATATAATTCTCAGTAAAAGTTCATATACATTAGTTTCTTAGCTATAATTTGTATCTAATATATAAGCTTCTGTATTGGAAAAAATATTTTAAAAATATAGTTGTATTATCTTTAATTGCTTTATAAAATCATAGTCTTTTTCAAGTTGCATTTTGTGATTGCTACATTTGAAATTATTGATTTTTTCAAGTTACTATTTTCTATACAAATTGTGATTTTTAAGTTTGAGAATGTAACCTCTATGTTGATAATGAGGTACCTGGTAAGTTCAAAGCAAATTCTATTATATTTTTATTTTGTAATAGTTTAATATGCAAATATTCTGGCACATGTATTTTCACAGAAACTGTTAAAAAAAAATAAACTCTATTTACAGCACTTTTATTCAACAAAATTTTTATGACAAAGCTTGTCAAATAAATTATGTCTGTTATGGAAATCTTTTAAACATCTTAACCAAATTTAGATGCTTCTAAATTGTAGGCATTCTCAAGTTCATTTTATTCTAGTACATAATATAAACTTATTTAAGTAAAAAAATAAGTTCTCCATAAAAATTAAATCTTGAATGAAAGATTTCTGTCTTAGTTTGGGCTGCTGTCTCAAAATACCACATACTGGGTGGCTTAAACAACAATTCATTTCTCACGGTTCTGAAGGCTGGAAAGTCAAAGATCAAGGAACCAGCAGATCAGTTTCTGGTGAGGGCCTGCTTCCTGGTTTGCAGACCTGAGTTGATCTCGTTATGTCCTCACATGACCCTTCTTGGGTGTGTGCACTTGGATGGGGGTGGTGGGGGTAGAGAGAGAGATCTGTTTCTTTTTATAACAGCATTAATCTCATCAGGAGGCCCCACCAACATGACCTAATCTAACCCTAATTAAAGGCACTACCTCTGAATACCATCACGTTGGGTATTAGGGCTTCAGCATAAGAATTTAAGGTGATACAAACATTTAGTCTATAGCTATTTTCAACTGACTTTGAATGTAATGTTTGATTGAAAATCATCCGTTATGTTGATGATTTTACAAAGTCTAAGCCTCAAAGAATTCTAAGCTAGATAACAAAAAGAGAAAACATGGACTGTCATGCTGAAATATTTTTCTAAATTCAGCATCAGCTTTGTCACAAATATTTTAGTTCATTTTTTTTTTTTTTTTAGATGGGGGTGTACTCTGTTGCCCAGGCTGAAGTGCAGTGGTATGATCACAGCTTACTTCAGCCTTGACCACCTGAGCTCAAGCAGTCCTCCCATCTCATCCTCCCAAAATGTTGGGATTACAGGTGTGAGCCACTACACCCAGCCTTAGTTCAATTTTTTTAACCCTATGTGTATGTATAAACATTTGTAAATTTTGATTGGTAGAATGTCACATCTTTTGTGGATGCAGTTGTGAAATATGTTTCCTCCAATTTTGATTGGTAATATATTGCAGTTTATATGGGCACAGTTGTGAATTATATGTGAAGCACAGCTAAGTCCAAGTTTATTTCTGTTACATCATTTTTAAAATTTAATAAGAACATTGTTCTTTCTATGATGCTGTGCTCAACCAAAGTTTGTAATTGTGTTATCACTGTAAAAACAAATAGAATTGACCCTTACTATTCACAGATTTTGCTTTCTTGAATTCGTCTGCCTATTACAGATTGAGCATCTCTGATCTAAAATCAGAAATGTTCTAAAATCCTAAACTTTTTGAGTGCCGACATGATGCTCAACACAATTCTCAAGGGTCATGCGCAAATGAAATACTCATTGGAGCCTTTTGGATTTCAGATTTTTGGATTAGGGATACTCAGTAAGTATATAATACAGATGTTTCAAAATTTTTAAAAACCCCAAATTCAAAACACTTCCGACCCCAAACATTTCAGGTAAGGGATACTGAACCTGTCAAATTTATTTGGAACTGCAAAATCAATACTCATGACACTAGTCATTCAACTGAGTGCATGACTACAAATGGTACAGAATGGTGAAAATTTTGGATTGCTCAACACATTCCTAGTTGACAGGCTGATTTCCTTCAGCTCTCATACAGTAAACAAGTCTCCTTTTTTGGGTTTATATAGTGCCATGATTTTTGCTTTTTTAGGCTTCTTTGTGATTTCTGTGTTTAAAATGACTATTCAGTGTGGAACTGAAGTGCTGTATATTGCTCCTAAGTGCAAGAAGGCTGTGATGTGCCTTAAGGAGAAAATACACATGATAGATAAACTTATAGTGCTGTTGGCTATGAGTTCAGTGACTCATAGTGATTCAACAGTAAACAGCCATACATTGCTTAACAACAGGGTTAAATTCTGAGAAATGTATCATTAGGTGATTTTGTCATTGTGAAAATATCATAGAGTGTGCTTATATGAATCTATAGCTTACCACACATGTAGGCTATGTGGTAAAGGCTATTGTTTCTGGACTACAAACCTGTGCGGTGTGTTACTATACTGAATTCTGTAGGCAGTTGTAACGGAATAGTAAATATTTATGTATCTAAACATAGAAAATGTACAGCGAAAATATAGCTTGATAATCTTATGGGACCACCTCCATCGTAGATGCAGTCTGTTGTTGACACATCATGCAGTGGATGACTATATATTAATCAGGTATCTTGAAACAGAACTATACATAAAATGAGGTTATGTTTGGTCAGCTAATTAAAATGTAATCAGAGGCTCTCAGGAGCTCTCAGGAACCCAACCCTGAATTTCCCTTATGAGTAAACAATTTGGTATTCCCTAATTCAGTATTCATGGTGACTTCATAGACCATAACTACTGTGAATAATGAGAACCAACAGTAATTTTTTGTTGTTGAACTTCTAAACTGATTTTTAAGTAACAATTAAAGCAATGTCAGGTGTTTCATATTCTACAGAATGAACTTCCAACAGCTTTACTTTGGTTTCATGAATTAGATGAAATCATCAAACCATTATTGGAATTAACTGATTTTTCTAGTTGGTACATTTCCTGATATTGACAGAAAGCTGGCAACAGTTAACTGTGAGTTTTTCTGTTAATGGAGCCAACCAGATATCACTTTACTTTGATGATGTAAAAAAGATGCTTTAGAATCAGAACTAAGTGCATTTTTTAAAAAAGTAATTTGATCTAGATGAAAAGTCATGCTTTAGAGAGTAATATGTAAAACACTTTCTCTATCTGCTTTCATTAAATCTGTGTCTTTAAGCTAGCCATGAGCAGGGACAGCAGTCAGTACTCAGTATTTCCTCTATGTCCTTTCAAGACTGGAGGAGTTAGCTGTCCTTACCTGCTCCTGCCTGAGAACACTTTTTCTGCGAGGTGCCTGGGTGCTGTCTTTAAGAATGAAGTATCAGTAACAATACGTCTAGAAATGGGTTACTGCTAGGTGTCTTTCAGATTTAACCACATGTGAAATTGACAGCTGGCTTCATTGCACATGTATCTCACACGGCTTAATGAGGTTATGGCAGAGCCTAAAAGTACAAATAAGTCCTAGCCTATTTTAATGGTATCATTAAAACAAATCATTAGAAAATGAAAAACCCGGCCGGTCGCGGTGGCTCACGCCTCTAATCCCAGCAGTTTAAGAGGCCGAGGCAGGTGGATCACGAGGTCAGGAGATCAAGACCATCCTGGCTAACATGGTGAAACCCCGTCTCTACTAAAAATACAGAAACTTAGCTGGGCGTGGTGGTGGGCGGCTGTAGTCCCAGCTACTCGGGAGGCTGAGGCAGGAGAATGGCGTGAACCCGGGAGGCGGAGCTTGCAGTGAGCCCAGATTGTGCCACTGCACTCCAGCCTGGGTGACAGAGCAAGACTCTGACTCAAAAAAAAAAGAAAGAAAGAAAATGAAAAACCCAGGACAAATGGTAAATTGGTGGGACAGTGGGACAGTAGCCATAAATTGGGACTGTCTCAGGCAAACTGACACACTTTACCAGACATTTGTCCTTTCAAAAATCTTTGAATCCCAAACTCTTGATTACTGTTTTCCTGTCAAAAAGGCTGTGCCCTGAATATGAATCACTTGTTTGTGACTAGTAATTTCCACAGCATTATGCACATGGAAAAGAATGTGAAGCATTCTTCTTAGCCAGTTTTATTCATTGCGGCATTTCTTTTTTTCTGGAACATTTTCTATTTATCTTAAAACTTTTATTAAATTTTGCATGCTTTCATTTTTAAACTAAAGACATGTAATCAACTATGGAATTATTTTCTTCTACATTAGTTCTTTTGTTATCTTAATAAAAATACACAGTAATTAGAAATGAAACTTGAAAATAAGGTACTATTTACATATATTTGATAAAAATGGATTATCTGAATATGATTATAATACTACTTTGTATTCTGTTACAGAATTAATTAAAAGGATTTATGGTATATCTTACGACTCTACAGGAGCCTTGGAATATAGGTAAGTGACAAGCATTTTTTGAAGAGACGTTTCTGAAACATTAAGTAATTTGATCTCACAGGTTCCTGGCAAAGTAGACAGTGGGGCATATCTTACTTCAGCAATTTACCTCTTTTCTCTTCAATGTAACGTTTGTAGAAATACCACATTTACATGAATCTTCATGTAACATTTCCCTAATAGCTAAAAAGTCATATTTTCCAGGGAATTTTAGGCTTATATTCTATAATAATTATAATGAGGATATTATTTATAAGACATAGGAGTGTGGCATGTAGCAAAACTTAAAGCATTAAAAAAAATAACTAAATGCAATATGGTACCCTGGGTTATACCTAGGAACTAAAAAAAGACATTAGTGGAAAAACAGGTGAAATATAAATGAAGTCTATATTTCAGTTAATAGTAATCAATTAGAAATTAATCAGTGTTAATTTCTTAGTTTCAACAAATGTCCCGTGGTTATGTAAGATGTTTAACTTTATGGAAAACTGAATGAGGGGTATATAGGAACGCTATAGTATTTTTGTATCTGTCTTCTAAATCTAAAATTATTTCAAAATAAAAATTTACTTGAAGCACAAAAGTCAGAGTTTATTGATTCAAACTGTATAGTTTAGGAGTAGATTTTCTGGACTATGGTTTAAAAAAATAAAAAAAATTAATTAAAATCCAAATTACATAAAAATGATTCAAGGAAATACAAGGCTATAGGTTTCATTTTTCAATTTGTAGGAAGTATGCAATTTTATTTTTTTAACTTTGGTGATATGGTTTGGATTAGTGTCCCTGCCCAAATCTCATATCAAATTGTAATTTCCAGTGTTGGAGGAGGGACCTGATGGAAGGTGATTGGATCATGGGGGCGAATTTCTTTCTTGTTGTTCTTGTGATAGTGAGTGAGTTCTCATGAGATCTGGTTGTTTAAAAGCGTGTAGCACCTCCCCCTTCACACTCTTCCTCTTGCTCCGGCCATGTAAGACGTACCTGCTTCCCCTTTGCCTTCCGCCATGGTTGAAAGTTTCTTGAGGCCTCCCCAGCCGTGCTTCCTATACAGCTCGAGGAACCATGAACCAATTAAACCTCTTTACTTTATAAATTACCCAGTCTTGGATAGTTCTTTATAACAATGCAAGAAAAGACTGCTATAATGGGCATGGTGTTTGCGGACATCTCCTCGTACTCGGTTACAGGCTTTCTCTTTGATGCTTTCAGCCACTTGTGTTTTTTGGTCCTTTTGTGTAACTTTTTCTGTTATTCCAAGCAGGCCCTTTAAATGGTTCCCAGTACACTTCTTTTTCTTTAGTGTATTGTTTAGAGACGAAAGTCCAATAATGTGACTCAGTAGTTTGGAGACCCCGTTAGTATAGTTTTGTTCAGTCACACTACTGGAGCTTCTAGGTCAAGTAGTAGACACAGTAGACCTATTGTTAATGAGTATGAATAAAGATGAGCATAACTCTTACATAGCCATTTCTGTAATTGAGCTAAAATAATACAGAATCTATTGCTGTCAGATAATAAAATTCTCAGTTTCTAAAATGGACTCTAGCATGATAACTATTTTAAATTTCTATAAATATTAAAAGACTTATAAGAAGGAAACTTTGTAGTTTGCCAAAACTCTTATGTAACTTTTCATTAATAAAAGTAAAGTAGCCATGCAGGTCTTGTGGATGGTTTCCTGCTTCTGCTGCCAAATTTAATGATTTTAGTTAAATTTCATAAAGGGAAATATAAATATATTATACTTAAAGGATATAGACACTTAAAAGAGCAGACCCGTGCCTGAATAACTCTTGCAGAATAATTGTCCAGCTTCGAAATTTCTGTGTTGCTTGGTAGTCTTTAGTCAGAATTGGTGTTAACAGTCTCATGTTAATAGAATTACAGTTAATGGAATTATAATCTATTTTTTAGTTGTTTAACATGATTGTGCTAACCTTGGTTGGGAAGTTTAGAAAAAGACAGGATTGTTTTCTCAGGCCAAGTTTAAATTACATTGATCATGTAATAGTTCACACAAAACAAGCAAACAAGAGAAACTTGTGTTATTCTGTGCTAGAAGAGCATTAAAAGTGTTGTTTTTAGGGACATGCTTACCATTCAGCTGATTGTAATTTGTGGTCATCAAAGTGTAAATAAGAATAGCTAATATATATTGAACATTTTTTTTTTTTTTTTTTTTGAGATGGAGTCTTGCTCTGTCGCCCATGCTGGAGTGCAATGGCACAATCTCGGCTCGCTGCAACCTCCACCTCCCGGGTTCAAGTGATTCTCCTGCCTCCGCCTTCTGAGCCGCCGGGATTACAGGCATGCGCTGCCATGACCAGCTAATTTTTTTGTATTTTTTTTTGTATTTTTGTATTTTTAGTTTCACCATGTTGGTTAGGCTGGTCTCGAACTCCTGACCTTGTGATCTGCCTGCCTCGGCTTCCCAAAGTGCTAGGATTACAGGTGTGAGCCACCACGCCTGGCCTGAACATTTTCTATGTACCAGGCACTTTACTTACATTATCTCATATAATCTTCACAATTACCTATGAGATAGGTTGGAATTCCCTTTACAGATGAGGCTGAGTGAGAACAGCTGTCTCCAGTCTAATTCTGAGATGGGGAGGTGGACAGAACAAGTGCCTATTATATAGTACAGTACCTGCTGTTTATTTATAATATAGTACAGTACCTGCTGTTTATTTATAGTTATAGTTATAATATAGTACAGTACCTGCTGTTTATTTATAAGCAGCTCCCAGGAAATGCCGTCATGTTTCCATAGATGTGTAGTAAACTTCAGATTACTTTAGCTTTTCTAGGTAAGAGTATCTGATCACACTGGGTCACCTAGAGTGGATTCTCCTGGGGTGAACAGCCTGGAGTAAGGACTTATGTTTCTTGTCTAGCTTTGTTCTGGCTCATTCTGCAGTCCCCTAACATGTCAGTTGTTCCCTGTCACCTGATTAATTGCTGAACACTCACTCATTGTGTGCTTCACTGATCACATGCCAAGAACTTTTGGCAGCTCTTGGGAACATGCTCTCCACGTGCCTCCTGGTAACTGTTGGACAACTAGAAGTTCCTAGTTGTTGTGAGAACTTTGATCCAGAACCTGCAACACATGCCAGAGACCAGGGATGGGATAGTTGAGCAGCTGACGGGTGAAATGTAGCTATTCAGATTGTTAGTTGGTCAGGAGTCAGAAATAGAGTTGGCATGTGACTCTAAAAAGTGGTTTTTGGAGAGGATTATGATGGTTGGCTATGGACTTCATAGTTTGTAGACAAAATAATTCTAACTTCTTTTTGAGGAAGAGTCATAAAAATACAAAATCTCCTTTACTATCTTCTCTTTATGATCTCTAAAAGTTGACATTTCTTAGGGCTCAGTCCTTAGCCTTCTGTATTTATTTTCCACACAATCTCATGTGATCCCTTGTTTTAAATGCCATCTGTTCTCCCAAATTTACAATTTCTTTACTTTGGTCTCTCCCAGGAGTTCTAGAGGTATTTTTATGTCTTTTCAACATCTCCATTTTGGAGTCTAATAAACATTTCAAACTTAATATGTCTAAAATGTAAATCTTGAACTTTTCTCCCTGTGTAGATGATATACGCAGTTGTTCCAGGCCAAAAACTCAAAGTCATGTTGGACTTTTTCTTTCATATCCCATACCCAGTCCATTAGTAAGGCTTATATGCCTTCCTTTCAAAATGTACCCCAAATTACCCCTACCCCACTCCTCACCCTTACTGCCCTATTATAAGTCGCCTAGGTGATAATAATCATCTTCTAACTGGCCTTCCTTATCTCCTGATTGTATCTCTCCATTTAATCCTCCATATAGGCGTAAAAGGTGTTTTTTTTGTTGTTGTTGTTTTTTTTTTTTTTTTAATGTTAAACAGTTTCTGTCATTTCTCTGTTCAGAACCCTTCGGTGGCTACCCAGCACACACAGTATAAAATGTTGTCTCACATGTTCTACCAGACCTGCTGACTTTATCTCCTGTCACTCACTCTCTTGCTCACTGTCCTCTAGCCACACTTGCCTTCTTGCTATTCCTTAGATACTCCCAAGTCCATTTGTAATCAGCTAACTTCCCCCAGTTCCGTGATCCCACACCCCTCACTCCAACCAGTCTAGCCTGGTACCAGTGGAGGTAGATTTAGGGAGAAGAAAAGTGCACATCCAAGACTCTGTAGCACATGCAGTGGTAGAGTCACAATAAAAATATTACAGCTTTAGCATTCCTAGTTTCTGTAATTTAAATTGCTTTCAAGTGTAAGAGGGACTGGATTTAGAGCTACAGAAAGTCATAGCTAGAATCAATGGGGAAAAGTTACAGAGAGAGATTTCTGTTCAGTTTAAAGAGTGCTACAAAGAGACTTAGACTCCCACACAATAATAGTGGGGAACTTTAACACCCCGCCGTCAATATTAGACCAAGTGGTCCAGATCTGTCAAAGATCAGATGGTTATAGATGCATGATGTTATTTCTGAGGCCTCTGTTCTGTTCCATTGGTCTGTATATCTGTTTTGGTACCGTACCATGCTGTTTTGGTTCCTGTAGCCTTGTAGTATAGTTTGAAGTTAGATAGCGTGATGCCTCCAGCTTTGTTCTTTTTGCTTAGGATTGTCTTGGCAATGCGGGCTCTTTTTTGATTCCATATGCAGTTTAAAGTAGTTTTATCCAATTTTGTGAAGAAAGTCAGTGGTAGCTTGATGGGGATAGCATTGAAACTATAAATTACTTTGGGCAGTATGACCATTTTCACGATATTGATTCTTCCTATCCATGAGCTTGGAATGAAAGCTGAAATTACTCCTTGTTCCATAAGCTGCAGGATGGATATCATGTTAGCAGGCGTGTAAACAACGTTAATGTCCTTGTATATATCTATTAGAGCTGTTGGGTGACTAGGTGCATTTTCATTGAGCAATAATATTTTGAAAGGAATCTTTTTCTCTGAACAGTGACTCTCAACAGTGGGCTTAAACTATT